ATCTCCGCAAAGTTAATTTTAAATGGGCAAAAGTGACTAAATTAAAAGCCCACAAATCATGGGTTATAGCTCATGAAATTCTGAATTTTACCCACCGTGAAATTACTTTCTAATGGGTGGAAACGGCTAAAAATAGATAGAAATCACTGATTATAACTTATAAAATCTTAAATTTTAGCCTCCATAAAATTATTTTCCAAATGGTTGGAACGATAATAAATAGCCAAAAATCGTGGGTTATATCTCATAAAATTGTAATGTTTGACCATTGTGAAATTATTTTTTAATGGGTCGAAATGAATAAAGATGAGCACAAATCATGCAAATTTTGGTATCTGCGATATTATTTTCCAATGAGAAAAAAATAATTATAAAAGCCACAAATCATTGGTTATAGCTCATAAAATTATAAATTTTGCCATCCATGAACAGTAACTTTGAATAAGTAAAAATGGTCAAAAATTATGGTTTATTGCTCATAAAATCATGAATTTTGGCCTCTATGAAATTATTTACCTATAGCTTAGAACGACTAAAAAAGACTAAAATTTATGGACTATAGCTCATGAAATCGTGAAATTTAAGCTCTGCAAAATTATTTGCCAATGGCTTAAAACTACTAAAAATGGCCAAAATCACGGATTATGGCTCATAAAAATCGTGAACTTTGACTCTGTGAAATTATTTTTCAATGGGTAGAAATGATTAAAATCAAATCATGGGTTATAATTCATAAAATCCTGAATATTGCTCTCAGTAAAATTATTTTTCAATGGGTAAAAAGACTAAAAATAGCCGAAATCATGCACTGTAGCTCATGAAATCACGAATTTTAGCCTCCGAGAAATTATTCCAATGTGTTAGAATGACTAAAGATAGCAAGAAATTGTTAATTATAGCTTATAAAATTGTGAATTTTAGCCTCCATGAAAGTATTTATAAATGGGTCCGAACAACTATAAATCGCCATAAATTGTGGGTTACAGCTCATGAAATCATAAATTTTGAACTCACGGATTTAACTTCCAATGGTTAAAAATGATAAAAAAAATACTACAAATATAGCTTATCAAGTTATGACTTTCAACCTCCATGAAATTATTTTCCAATTGCTAAAAAATACTAAAAATAACTAGAAATTTTGGGTTGTAACTCATAAAATCGTGAAATTCAACCTCTGCGAAATCATTTTTCAATGGGTTAGAATTACTAAAAATAATCAAAATTTGTGTTTTGCAGCTAATTGGAAAATAATTTTATGGATTTCAAACTTCACAATTTTATGAGTTATAACCGATGATCTATGGCCATTTTGAGTTGTTCTATCCTATTTGCAAATAATTTTACCAATAGGCCGGAATGACTAGAAATTGCAACAAATCATCTGATATAGCTCATGAAATCGTGAAATTTTGTGTCCGCAAAATTATTTTCTAATGGGTCAGAATGACTAAAAGGGGCCACAAAACATGGATCTTATGAAACTATGAACTTGGGTCTTCAAATTATTTATTAATGGGTCGAAATGACTAAAAGTGACTAAAAATCATGGGTTCTCTCTTGTGAAAACGTGATTTTTGGCCTCAGTGAATTTAGTTGCCAATCCCTGAAAAAACTCAAAATAGCCACACAAAAAATCAAACGTTATAGGTCATAAAAGTGTGAATTTTGGCCTCCTAGAATGCCAAGGGCTTAAAATGGTTAGAAATCCACAGTTATAGCTCATGAAATAGTGAGTTTTTGCCTCTTAAAAATTATTTTCTAATGTGTTGGAATGAACTAAAAATGACCACAACTCATTAGTTATAGCTCGTGAAATCGTGAATATTCTCCGTGAAATTATTTGTCAATGGCTCAGAATGACTAAAATAAGCAATATTATGGGTTATTGCACATAAAATTGTGAATTTTGGATTATACGAAATAATTTGCTAATGAGTTAGAATGACTAAAAATGGTAAAAAATAATAGGTTAAGTTCATGTAATCATGAATTTTGGCCTCAACAAACTTATTTACCAATAGCTTTAAATTACTAAAATTAGCTAGAAATCATGGATTAGCCCATGAAATTATGAATTTTGGCATCTATGAAATTATTTTCAAATGAGTCAATGCGGCTAAAAAATTACCACAGGTCATGGGTTATAGCTCATGAAATCGTTAATTTTGTCAAGATAAAATTATTTTTTAATGAGCTAGAATGATTAAAAATGCCCCAAATCATGGGTTATAACTCATGAAGCCGTGAATTTTAGCTTCCGCAAAATTATTTGTCAATGGATCAGAATAACTTAAAATGGTAAAAAGAATCATGTGTTACATATCATGAAATCATGATTTTTGGAATCCATAATATTATTTGTCAATGACTCGGATTACTAAAAATAATTACAAATCATAGATTACCGCTCATGAAATCATGAATTTGGCTTCTATGAAATCATTTGCTCATGGCTCGGAGCACCTAAAAATGGCCAGAAATTGTAGATTATAGCTCCTAAATTCATAAATTTTGGCATTCAAAGATTTTCCTTTGGGAAGAAATGATAAAATTGGCCAAACATCATGGGTCTCATGAAAACATGAATTTTAGCCTCCGTGAAATTATTTTTTAATGGTTCAAAGTAACTAAAAATGGCTAAATTTTTTTGTTACAGCTCAAAAAATCGTGAAATTTCTCATCCACAAAATTATTTTCCAATGACTCAAAATGACTAAAAATAACCAAAAATCATAGATTCTAGCTCATAAAATCATGAATTTTAGCCTCCTTGAAATTATTTTCTAACGGGTCAAAATGATTAAAAATAGACACAAATTATGAGTTATAGCTCATGAAATCGTTAATTTTAGCATCTATATGGTTTAGAATGACTAAAAATAGCTAAAATCATGGGTTATAACTCATGAAATTGTGAATTTTTGTCTTTATAAAATTATTTACTAATTGGTCGGTACTATTAAAAATGACTAAAAATCGTGGGCTATAGCTCAAGAAAATATGAATTTTGGCCTACGCAAAATTAATTGCCAAGCGCTCGTAACAACTAAAGATAGACAAAAATCATAGGTTATGGATCCTGAATTTTGTCCTCTGGGATATTTTTTGCTAATTATTTAAAATGACTAAAAATAGCTAGAAATTATGGGTCGTAGCTCATGAAATTTTGTATTTTGCTCCCTGTAAAATTATTTTCTAATTGGTAAGAATGACTAAAAATGGCCAAATCATGGGTTATAGTCATTAATTCGTAAGTTTTGGTCTCCGGAAAATTATTTGTCAACGGTACGAAATGACTAAATGTGCTCAAAATTTGTGGATTATAGATTATGAAAGCGTGAATTTTCGTATGTACATAATTATATGTCAATGGTTTGAAACGACTAAATATGGTTAGAAATCATGTGTTATAGCTCAAGAAATCATAATTTTTTTCTTCCGTAATTTATTTGCTGTCGGGTGAAAATGACTAAAAGTAATAAAAAATCATAAATTATAGCTCGTGAAAACGTGAATTTCGGCCTCTGCAAAGTTATTTGCCAATGGCTTTAAACGATAAAAATAGCAAAAAATCATGGGCTATAGCTCATAAAATCATGGATTATGGCCTTCAAGAAATTATTTGTCAATGGCTTGGAATGACTCAAAATGATCAAAATCATGGATTTTGACTCATGAAATTATAAAATTTGGCCTTCACAAAATTATTTGCCAATGGATAAGAACCATTAAAATAGACTAAAATTTATGGGTTAGTACTCATGAAAATATGAATTTTTGCCTTCGCAAAATGAATAGCCAATGGCTTGAAACAACTAAAAATATGCCAAAAAACACATATTATAGCTTACAAAATTATTAATTTTGATCTTCAGGATATTATTTTTCAATAGCTCAGAATGGCTAAAAATCGCTAGTTATAGCTTATGAAATAGTGAATTTTGGCTTTTGAGAAATTATTTTCCTTTGGGTAGAAATGATAAAAACTGGACAAAAATCATGGATTTCATGAAAACTTGAATTTTAGCCTTAGCGAAATTATTTGCTAATGTGTTAGAATGACTAAAAATCGCCAAAAATTATGGGGTATAGCTCAAGAAATCATGAATTTTGGTCGTCGTGAAATTATTTTCTAATGGATCGAAACAACTAAAGATGGCCAAAAATCATTGGTTATCACTCATAATATCATAAATTTTTCCTCAAAATTATTTTTCAATGGGTCGTAATAACTAAAAATGACTATAAATCATGGATCATAGCTCATGAAATCATTAATTTTAGCATCCGCAAAATAATTTACCAATGACTCAAAATGATTAAAAATCATGGGTTATTGCTCAAAATAACTCACAAATTCTTGAATTTTTGCCTTCAAGAAATTATTTGCTAATTGTTCAGAATGAAAAAGACTAAAAATTGTGGGTTGCTCATGAAAATATAAATTTTGGCCTACATGAAATTAATTGCCAATGACTCGTAATGACTAAAAATAGGCAAAAATCATAGGTTTTATTGCTCATGAAACTATGAGTTTTGGCCATCAAGATATTATTTGCCAATGACTAAGAATGACCAAAAATGGCTAAAATCATTGGTTTTACAACTCATAAAATGTGAATTTTAGCCTCCAGGAAGTTATTTGCCAATGGCTCCAAATGACTAAAAATGCTCATAAGTTGTGGGTTATAGACCATGAAAACATAAATTTTGGTTTGTGCGAAATTATTTGCCAATGGTTCAAAATGACTAAAAATCACTAGAAATCGTGTATTATAGCTCGTGCCTCCATAATTTATTTGTCAATGAGTTGCAATGGCTAGTTAACGTACACGTGTACAGTGAATGTTGATGGATCAAAACATTATAAAATCTACACACTTTTATTCTATTCCAGAAGCAAAATAAATAACAAGTATTAGAAATAATACATTAGATAATGAATACAGCTTTTTACGAAAGAAAAATGTAGACAAAATTGTACCAGTAACCTTCACTTGGGTTTTCCATAACATCAATGTACTGCTGATAAGGCCCTCTAACATTTCAATGTGATACAAAGAGATCTCGTATTGTCTTACAGATGCTGAATTTACAGGTCACACCGTATAGATACATATAACTAAGAGATAACTCTGTTTGAATAAATACTAGTGAATCCGAGTGTTAATAAAACCTTGGGTTAATTGCAAACAGACCTCGTAAAAGGTCTCGGAAAAAAAAAAGATTTATTTAGGGGCTCTATCTGCAATTGAGCGATAGTAAGGGATCTATCAGCATGTACCCCTAAAACCTTTCAGGGATAGCAAGTGCTTAACCTCTTATGATACAAGGGATGTGTCTGCGCTAACCCAATAAAACAAAAAGCTCTTCCTTCTCACCAATAATCTCTACAAGAGCAAAACCCATCTCTAAAATGATGAAACCTAGTAGCATCTCTAACAATAATCTCCCTGTCAAAAACCTTAGATATAAACTTCATTGCATTATGACAATCATTACAAACCCTCAAGTTCTTCATAATCCTTAGTGTCTCCTTCTCTGGTGTGCTAATCAACCCAAAAGCCACAGCAAGCTTCTCACTGTGCCTACTCAACAACTCCTCCTTCAACTCCTCCTCAATATCATGAAGCACTGACCCAGTATCAGGAACAAATCCTGCCTTCTTTATCTCTTCCCAAAATTTAGCAGCCATTTTATAGACCCCCTCTCTTTGAGGATGCACCGAATCATCAACTCCAAAGACATGAACTTTATTCTTTACATGCATCCAACTGAATCCTTGTTCCTTTTTCACCCCTTTGTCCTTCATCAGCTTCCAAACATTCGCTGCCTCTCGCCATTTTCCACAAGAGGAATATACATTGGCCAGCGCTGTATAAGCTCCGCTATTGTTAGGGTCTAATGATAGTAATCTATCTGCAGCAAATTCTGCGATGTTCACGTTTTTATGAACTTTACAGCCTGATAATAGCGAGCCCCAAGCTATATCATCAGGCTCAACTGGCATAGATTTAATGAAGTCTAGTGATTCTTCGAGTAGCCCACCACGAGCTAACATATCGATCATACAAGCATAGTGGCTTGATGTTGGTTCGATATTATGTACATTCTTCATCATTTCGAAATAGGTTTTTCCTTTCTGGACAAATCCAACATGAGTACACGCTGATAATACCCCAACATACGTTATATGATCAGGCTCAACACTGATTTTAATCATTTCTTCAAATAGATCTATTGCTTGTTCACCAAGTCCATGTTGGGCTAAAGCTATAATCATAGAGGTCCAAGAAACAGTCTCCTTTTCCCAATAAACTTGATCAAAAACTCGTCCCGCTAGAGAAATACTCCCTGATTTTGCGTACATTGTGATCAGGGCATTGCTAACCGAGACTGAGAGACCTTCGCGTGATCTAATGGCTTTTGAGTGAATCTCTTTCCCATGTCGAAGCGAAGCAAGACTGGAACAAACACTTAGAATTGCTGCAAGAGTGTAACTATTTGGCCCAGGACCTATTTTAATCATCAATCGAAGAGATCAATAGCATCAGCATTAAAACCGTTTTGAACATAGCCTACAACCATTGCAGTCCAGGTACTACATCAGTCTGCTTCATCGAATCAATATCTCTTCTGGCAGTGGAAGCTCACCGATCTTGAGATAACTTCAAGAAGAGCGGTTGAACGATATCTCATTAAGATTTGAAGAATCAACTATTCTCTCCACAACTCTATGAGCAATTTGAACTCCACCAGATTTCGAATACATTGATATTAAAGCATTTCCAACTTGCCCATTGCACTCCATTTGATTTCTCACAATATAACCATGAATCTCTTCCCCAGTTCTCAACAATCCAAGATTCGCACAAGAAGATAAAACACTCGTCAAAGTGAATTTATCAGGGATCAGAGATGTCTCCTTTAACATTCGAGCAAAGAAGTATAAAGCTTCAAGATTGAAACCATTCTGATTGTATCCTGCAACCATTGCATTCCAAGAAATGATGCTTCTTTCTTCCATTCTCTCGAACAGCGAAAGAGCAAGATCCATTCTTTTTGACTGGGAGTACATCGAAACCATAGAATTCCAGCTTGAAACACTCCTCAGGCTCATCCTATCGAAAACCAACTTCCCCGTCCTCAAGTCTCCAGCTTTTCCGTACATATTTATAAGCGAGTTCGCCACTGGTACATACCCACTAAGCCCGAGCTTAACTATGAATGAATGCAACTTTTTCCCGGTATCAATTCCCTCGGTCTTCAACGTACAAGACGACAAAATGTTAGTGAATGTGAACTGGGTAGGAGAAATCCCATCCACGATCATCTTCGAGAACGTTTTAAGGGCCATGTTGAACCGACCTGTTTGGTTAAAACCGACGATCATCGCAGTATAAGAAACCGAATCTCTCTCGGGCATTTTATCAAACACTTGGATTGCCAATTCGGGCTGGCTGGATTTCGCGTACATCGACAGGACGGAGTTCCAAGAGAAGATGTTCGGTTGAGGCATCTCGTCGAACAGTTGATGGGCATCGGAGAAAATGGAGAGTTTCGAGTAGAGGTTGATGAGGTTGTTGGTTAGGTAAGTGGAGGAGGAGAGGAGGCCGGATTTGATGATGAGGGAATGGATTGATTTCGCGCGGGAAAAGGGGTTTTTGGAGTTTAGGCACGATTGGATTAGAGAGATGTAGGTGTTGATGAGAGGATTTGGAATGGACATTTAAAAAAAAAATCAAAAGAAGAGTGAGAGGGAGAAATTCAATGGAGCATTATTACCACGTACAAATTTTTCATGCTTTCCTTTGTAGCGATAAATAAACTCTTTTAAATTTGGGTGATGATATTATGAGCTTTTTTTTAAATAACTCAGCTCAAAATCAAAACTCAAGACCAAGAGCCCCCATATTATGGGTTGGTGAGCTATGAACTCATACAGCTTCAAGGATCAAACTAATTTGATGGGTTTAAGTTCATAGACAACTTAAAATCTATCTAATTTGTAAACAATTGGTTTTAATAATAAAAAAATTATTTAAAGATTGTAAACTATATCTATTCTAATACATATGAATCATGTACTATTCAACTCAAGATTAGTTTGTATCGATAATCATATAAGTAACTATTAAGTGAACTCACACGATCCTGTGTTTATTTTTCAGGTGGGGTTATTAAAAAAAATTATTTTCAACTCACCATGAGAACCTTACTTAATCATACTGTGTCATAACTTACTACCTCTGTAGTTCTATTGTTACCATTTACCAAAGGTCTCTACAACAATAGGTTTTCACTCCAGGGACCTACCTGCGACGATACAACTATCCCAACAGTCTGTAGGACTACTGAGGGAAGTTCAGTTTCGTCGGGAGGTCTTCCTGCAATTAACGTTTCATTAATTAATAAATGAAACGATTATTGAACAATCAACCATTTATGCAAGATTCTGACTTTTGTATTATTTTAGTATTTGTGAATTTATTTCTTTATGTATTTATGGATACGCTGCAGAATGGCAGAAATACATGAACATAAACAGAGTTATACATTAGCTTACATAATATACCAGCAACCCACTTGGGGAACTAGACCTTCAACTTCTTTCTGAAGACAGCAGGAAAGAAAGAACCAAGAAGGGGCCAGGTTGTTACTATAGCAATATAAGCAAGCAACCAGATTGATCTCCCACTCTGCCTTGTGAGCTGATTCATCGATCTCTTCACTTGAACTGTCATATTATGAAAAACTTCAGAAATTGTGTCTTCATGTGCACTTTGTGCACAAGTGGGCACAGTTTCATGAACTGGATTTGTTCTCCTTTCGGTTCTCTCTCCTTTCACCTCTTCCGTGGTGCTATTGATATCAGATTTTTGTTCATGAGTTGTTCGAGCATCGAGTAAAGCTGTTGCTTCGTTATTGTTTGGTTCATCATTAGTCAATGCAGTAACCAGTCCATCTTCCATGATGTTTACGTAGGGGGACTTATCGATTGAAGACTCAAGAGGAGAATGAACCCCAGTACTCTCTATCTGCATCAAAAAAAATACCTAATAGTACAAATCATAAACTGAAATACTTCCAATGGTAGCATTCCAGCATGCAAGAATAAATACAAGAGAATGTTTACCCAAAAACTATATACTAACATAAAATACTTACTAATGTTTTAATAGGTTCACAAAATTTTATAACTTCAGTTTGTAACAACATTAATACAACTTTCATGAGTAAAGCGAAATACTAGATTAAAAACAGCTTTTGCAGCAGAATAATATATGATTCATGAGTAAAGCGAAATACTAGATTAAAAACAGCTTTTGCAGCAGAATAATATATGAATAACTTGCAGAAAATAAACATTGGAAATGCTTGCTTTAATAATATATGAATAACTTGCAGAAAATAAACATTGGAAATGCTTGCTTTATAAGTTAGGAGAATTTTGTGCGTTGTAAGTCATACGAGAACAAGGTTCGAAGGCAGATATGATACCTGTTGTTGTTCATGCATGTATGGGCTAGAGTGTAAAACAGAAAGAAACTCGCTGACGGCTCCAACCCACCTGCAATGAAGACAGACAATCTGCATAATATAGCTGCAAAAAACAATACCTACCATTTTACATGTTTTTGTTCCCAGTCAAAGTTAAAAAGAAGATGCGTGGTTAAGTTACCTAAAATATTTCATAGAAGGTTAGAGGTTACTCCAAGTGAGATAAAATGAGAGAATGCGACTTAACATCGCGCCGATTACAAAATAGCTTGTGATATGTTATGTTTTCTCGACGTGGAAGGTTGTATGTGTACAAAATAGTTTTTATTTTTTTAATTGGATGTCGGGTTTGGTATATAAATGCAACCTGCCAAATTCTT